CTGGATTAGAGCACGAGGGGGACGGAGCGTTAACGTCATTAGACGAGACTTCTCCAACTTAACGTTTAGGTTCAGTGTGCCTCTAACCATTCGGTGATCGCTGCCAGTTTTCACCCTTGCGATCACTGAGACATCACTGAACAGTTGGCGTCTGGTCGTCATAATGAAGTCAATCTCATTTTTTATCGAACCGTCGGGGCTCGACCAGGTCCACTTCCTGTGGGGCCGCTTCTGGAAGAAAGAGTTCATCATAAAGAGTCCCTCTTTCTCCATAAAGTCGGCCAGCTGCTGGCCCCTTCGGTTCCGTTACCCTACTCCAAGTTTCCCTAACTTCAGCACACCGTTTTCTCTTGTGCCTAGTTTTGCGTTGAAGTCTCCCATCAACACCGTGTAGTGGGTTTTGAAGGAATGCATGGCTTTGGAAATATCGTCATACATTTCATCGGGATGTGCCGAGGTTGGTGCGTAAACCTGTATGACCTTCAGCGAATACCGTTTGGTGATTCTGAGTATAAAATAATGAATATTGAGAATAAAAGTTTGTAAACTTTTTGTAATACTTTATTGTAAAAGCTAAATAAAAACTACAAACCGGTTCGCCAGACAAACCCGCATGGTTTTGTCTGCGGAACTAACTTATCGATAGCTAAAGTTGTGGCGTCCATCACTATAGTGCAATACTTTCGGTTGCAGTGATACCAGTTTATTTTTATAAAAATTGCACACTTTTGCTGCGAAGTAGCAAGTTTCGATTTGACTTATTTGGCCTTTATTTTGTATAATATTTTGATAAATACTAGTTATTGATTATATTACATTATATAATATTCAGTATCGTGTTGAAATTATGCTGAATATATAAATCATTTAACAAAATCCACTACACATCTATATGTAGTGATTATTATTCATCACAAACTGATTTAATTATTAGGAAATATATTATCGTTAATATATTTAACTTGTGTAGTAAATTATATTTATTTAAAAATAGATTATTTTTCACTTTGTGAAATATGATGGCCACACTTGGTATTGGACGAAAATATTCACAAAGTACGAGTTTTAATGATAAAATTACTTTAATATTATACAGTAATTAACAGTATACACCGCCTGCAACTTTACAAGGCGCAGGTTCGGCCGCACATGGAATACTGTTTCCATCTCTGGGCTGGGGTTCCCCAGTACCAGCTCCTTCCACTTGACCGCATCCAGCGCAGAGCGGCTCGAATCGTCGACTTGTGCTTTCCGATCGGCTCGATTCACTGGCACTGCGAAGAGATGTTGCATCTCTTTGCATTTTCTTTCGCATATACCATGGAGAGTGCTCTGAGGAATTGTTCGGATTAATCCCAGCCGCCAAATTTCGTGAACGCACTACGCGGCAAACGACCCGATATCATGCACACCATTTGGATGCTTGGCGGTCCACCACTGTACGTTTCAAGAGGAGTTTTCTTCCGCGTACAACCTCTCTGTGGAATAGTTTACCACCAGCGATTTTTCCGGACCGATACCACCTGGGGACCTTCAAGAAAAGAGCTTACTCCTTTCTAAAGGGCCGGCAACGCACCTGCAATTCCCCTGGTGTTGCGGTTGATCATGAGCGGCGGTAGTCACATAACATCAGGTGAGCCGCATGCTCGTTTACCCCCTCTTCTATAAAAAAAACCCCTCGTTAATGCGAACACGGTTAACACGAATTTTGGTTTAAAGCGAACAAAAATTTGCTCTAGACAATAGTTCCATAAGCCAGAATAATGACTCAAAATTATTATTTATTGTAATTATTACTGGATGTGGTGCTTTTACTTTGATTGATTAGTTTAATTCCTTTTTGATTTAGAGTTTATATGTTGTTTAGGTTTTTTTTTTCTCTTACATTGATGTATACACCTGTAAAGATATATAGATCCTTTATCTAAAAATGTAGTATTTTTGATTGTAACAATGTTTACTGATATTGTCGATGGTGTATCTATTTAAATAAATAAATAAATAAATAAGCTTCAATGTTCGGTTAAGACGAACCCTCGTTAATCCGAACTTCGAACAACTTTTTCGTCCCTTCACGGTTAATTATCGGATAATACGAACTATAAAAATTCCCAAATCATGTATTTTGTATATTTTTTGTCCTTTTTCGGTCAATACAAATACCGGTAAACTATGGCTGAAGAGATCAGAAAAGTCATTAACTCATATTTCTAAAAATAGACAAAGGATCAAATATTCACTCGAGTACCTAAAAATAGAAACAATACCTCAAATTTTCTTTCCATCTTACAAAAGCTATTGAAAAGGTTGTAAACTTTTGAAAACTAATTAACAAAAGCAAAGGCTTCTTAACAATTTGGCTTTGTTCAGAAGTGTACATATAAACTGATGTCTGATGAACATAACAAAGCTATAAATGAACTTCAAATAGTTCAAAATCTATTCTGTCGTAGGGCCACTAACTCGCCCTATTATGTCCGTAATGCCGACCTACATCGAGACTTAGAGCTCCCAACAATCCAGCAGATTCATCACTCTCTGAGAGATTTTTCAAAGCCTCAGAGTCCCACCCAAATCATCTCATTCGTGAGACAGCTGCCTATGCAGCCCCTATCCACACTCGCTATAGTGTGCGCAGACCGAGAAACTCTCTCTCGGACCCCCCCCCCCCAACAAGCTTTCGGCTGACCTGAACTGCCTCCTGGCGGCTCAGGCCGAGCCTACATAACACATCCCTTAATCTGCCTTAGTTAGGCACTCTTCTAAGCGGCTTTTCGCCGCTTGCGCCCTCCTTTCTGCCAAGGAGGGTCGCGTTCGTATACGGCTTAGAGATCTCTAGTCAGATCGTTAAGCCAATTCCTAAAAGGTTGGGTTTAGTGGGTAAAAGTCACCACATAACCACGCAGCCGGCTGCGTGGTATGCTATGAGCATTCCCAACCTCCCTCCCCCGCTTTCCGGAGGGTTGCCCATATTTGCTTCGGGCGCAAAAAAAATGAACATAACAATAATGTTAAGTTATAAATGATATGTAAAAATAATGTTAAGTTAAAAAATTTATAATAAAAAATTATTGTAAATATAAAATAATAATATCAAAGTTATTAATAAAAATGTTTCCATGATGAATATTGAGTTTAGAAACACGAATTCATTTTTTGCATTGTTCGGATTACACGACCTCCCGTGTAACACGAACTATTTGTCTGATTTTTTCGTGTTCGTGTTAACGAGGGTTTACTGTATTAAAAATACTCACAGATGAAAAGTCATATTGTCATTTTATATACTTGACGTTTTTGATTGTTTTTTTTTTCATGTAAATACACTGCAATTCGGCATTTTGTCGGTGCTCGATTTACTGGCACGATCATTTCGGAATGACCCACGACGCGGAGCAACTACGCGCGGACAAAAGTATGAAAGAGTATCTATTCATTTGTTTTTCTTTACTGCTTTTTAGTCTAACATACGACATTTTTTTTTTGCGCCCGAAGTAATTAAAGGGCTACCCTATACGTAGGGAGGCGGAAAATGCATTACGCATACCACGATAGCCGGTCTATCGTGGTTATGAGGGACTCACATCCTACCGGGGAACCTAAGTGATACCCTCTAAAAACCGCCTTTAGGGACTGGCAACTGGCTGATTAAGCTTTATTGTGCCGTATCGTGAGCGACCCTCTTTTGGGAAAAGAGGGCGTGGGCGGCTACGAGCCGCTGAGGGATTGCCTACGAAGGCAAATTAATTATGAATAAATAATTTAATTTAATTAGAGTTGGCCTGAGCCGCCAGGAGGCAGTTCAGGTCGTTTGATGGTTTATTAGGCGGGTCCGAGAGAGAGTTTATCGGCCAGCGGACTCGATAGCGAGAGGGGGTGGGGCTGCATAAGTAGCTGTCTCACGAATAAAATGGTTGGAGTGCGACTCTGAGGCTTTGAAGAAGATCTCAGAGAGTTTTTTGAGAAATTGTTGAATTGTGGGGAGCTCTAGGTCCCGATGAAGGTTGGCATTACGGACGTACCAAGGTGCGTTCGCAGCTCGACGACAGAAAAGGTTTTGAACTATTTGGAGTTCATCAATAATTTTAGGGTCAGCGTGGGCAAAAACGGGGCCCGCGTAGGACATGACTGGTCGTATACAGACCTTATAAAGGGTACGCTTGTTTCTGAGGGACATTTTACTGTGTCGGCCCAACATACTGTTGAGCCTACTCAGGTAAAAACGTGCGTGACGGGTTACTCTTTTGACGTGGGGCCTGAAAGTAAGCCTTGTGTCTAGAGTGACACCTAAATATTTGGCAGTCGTATGCCAGGGGACAGGGGTCCCTAGCATACGTATACGACATATTACGAAATAATGTTCTCATATAACACGCGGTCTATCTAACGAACTACGTGTAATGTAACGTGCTACGAGATTTAGCGTGCTGCAAAACTTTATGCGCTTGCCGCCCTCCCAAACGCTATCTAATAAATAACGCGCTATAACATAGCATAATTAATAGCGCGCTAGAAATTTATAGTGTATAGTTTTTAGCGTGCTATTGATTTATAGTCGTTTTGAACAACTTCAGTCCTCTGTGGCATCTGCCCGCTGTGCCGTAAACTTTTCGTATTATTGAAGCGCCTCTAACCGAAGTAGCAATAATTAGTTACCATGTTGACGAATGTCATAGCCGTGGCTATTTTGTGAATAACCGCTAACCGCTATTTAATTAGCTAATTGAATTGCTACTCATCTCTAACTCTTTCTGCTATTGTCATTTGTCAATTGTCATTGTCATTTATTTTTCCGAATGCCGATGCTTATAAGCATTTCAAATTTATACTAAAACTAAAATATATATTATCGAAAGAGTAAAGTCCTAGTAATAGTAGTTCTTTACTCTTGAATTTTAATTATTAATTGTAATAATCATAAACTTCGACTTTTCTTAGTCCTGTGCTTATTTTTATAATAATAGTATGTAAAATCAAATCACAACAAATCTGCAAGCACCATGGATCCAACTTTCATGAAACCAGTTCAACCTTACGTGTTTAAAGCACTTAAAGATGTGGATATTGCGAGTCTTGTCAAGTTATCAACAGAAGAAATAAGACCAATCATACCATGTCTTGTTCGCATGGCTCTGATATCACCGTTGGATGTAACACAATACTGTGCAGAAGCCAAAAGAGAAATTCTTACCCTTCTCTCGGGCATTGATTTGGTCAATTTTATTGTATCGTTACTCTCAATTGAATTTCATCCACTTGAAGTGGACCTCAAAAAAGAACAACAAATGAGGTAAGGAAACATATTTTATTGTTTAAACACAAAGAACTTAACAAGTTTTACGAGATCATAATAGTGTTACTAGCATAAAACAGGTATAAAGATGAATCTATAAACATCTTGCAATTTGAAATCCATCATGCCATTCACCCCCCAGAACGAAAAAATTAATTAGTCTACTTTTTCCCACCAAGTTTTCTCACTGGTGGGACACAGTGGAATCTTTAATATTTTTTCTTTCTACTTGCTAAAGCTTTTTCTCTACTAGCTTTTCTTAACCAACTGCTTCTTGGTAGGACAAATTACACTGGTATAGTAACCTTGTCCACTGTTTCCCACTATGGCTGGCATAAGTGAATTTTGATATCTCTATTGTTCTGATATCTAATTAAACCATGCTACGATAGGTGTACTATTACAAGCTTAAGGCACGTGTGTTTGTGAGCACTGGTGGCTCATCGCATACAAAGAGAAATTGCTTTAAACAGTCTTGGCTTGGTCAGTGCTCAAGTGCTACACAATGCAGACCATGCTTTTTTTGTTTCATTTTTAATTTAAAAATTACGTATGAGTAGATAATAAGTTTCACGTAAAATATAAAAAAGAGTAAACATTTTTACTGTACTGTGTGTATGAACAATATTAAAATGTATACCTATATACATTTAATAATTATCATTAAATATAATGCTTTGATTTAAGAGATTTTTTGCAGATATAACTGTAAAAATGGTTTTTTTAATCAATGCTTTTCTGGACTTCGCTTCTACCACAGAGGGTATTCCCTCCTGACCTTCTCCCACCTATGACCGATTTTCTAAAGAGATTCCTAAAATGCCAGGGGTAGGACAGACATGTAGTCAGGGTTGGATTGATTCTATTCTAAAACAGTTTTTAACCTAATCAATTGTATTTATGATTGACAGTCTATTTTGAAATATTACTAATTTACAAGTTTTTATTATTATAGGGTATTTAAATAGTTTTCTTATCTGGTTCGGCTGTATAATATATAAATGGAAATGATGGATATATATAAATATATATTAATATAGTAAAATAAATATATAAACAATATGTAAATAAATAAAAAACCAACCAGATAGAAGCCTTCGGCAGGAGAGACCAAATGGCCGACCATAAGGGAGAAAAGGAATGAAACTAGCAGATGATGTAGGCAGTATCAAGGAGCACTGACTGCTGCCTATTCCATCACAGACCCTCAGCCGCCTCAGATGAGCCAAGAGACTGACTGGGATTAGCCTGTTTACAGAAACAACTACAGGTATAATTTCGGGCAACGGACCACCCTACATGTCAGTCGCCTCATATGCCAGATTCCGATATTTTGTTTCCTTATCTGTTTTGGCTTTCATGTATTTCTCGTCATATGGAATGGTATAATGCCAATCAAAAATATCTTTGACTGTACCCAGTCCATTGGCAAAATATTAGGCTTATATGCAAGAATCATACTGTCTGTGATGATGGCCTGGTCCCAGTAGAGCCTGGCGCAGTCATTTTCGAGCACTGCTTCTGGCAAGTACTTCTAATAAGACAATTTCTGGTCCACGAGAGAGTGTTTCAGAGCGAGCTCCTGGTGTAAACTTCTGTATACTAGGTTGTGCCTGTGCAAGTACTCAGAGTTAGAAAGCGCCAAACAACCCGTGATGACATGCCTAAGTGACTTACCGGGATGACGACAAGCTCGACAGATGTTGACGGTGCCATCCCTTAGGATGAATCTCTGATAGTTATTGGTCTTAATAACCTGACCCTGTACCGCACGGACAAAACCCTCGATTTCTCCAAAGAGGTCACATAGATCATTACTCTCAATCTGGCTACAAAACGTAGCCTGTGGAAGGAGGCCACTATGTTCACGAAAGGCTCATGTAGAGATTTGTATAAAGCCTCCCATGGAGCCCCTTCTCCTTCCATACGGTCTTCCGGTCGGAAATGCTCTGTACTAGTGGGTTTTGCTTGCCATTGCTCATTGACTAAGGATAAAGGGTAAGCTCATTATCTCAAAAAATAACATCCTTATAGAATGGATCATCCAGAACAGAAGTTCAGTTTGAGTCCACCTGAGTATGCCAAACATAAGGACAGGCATGACCCAACCATTATATGTGTGTGGCTTATTCACACACGACAAAAGGCTGTTAAGAACTTTGGTCAAGTGTGCATAAAACTCATTGCAAACTGACTGTTTCATACCTGCCTCACCTATACCTATGTTCTATGACATACCCAAGTATCGGTATGTTTCAGCCTCAGAAAGGGTCTTCATGTTGATGGACATAGATAAATCTATGATGTCAAAATAAGTGACTCCCTATCCCTTTCAACATGGAGGACCGCACACTTCTGTTCCGATCTCTTCCCAGCTCTATTTTTATAGAACTACTAAAATCTCAAGTGATTTCAATTTTAGATTAATTCAATTGTAGATTTCAATTCCATAAGATAGAAGCGACGGGGGGCGAGTAACATTAGATCATCCATATAGAAAAGGTAGGTCACTTTTGTCCCTCTTTTCCAAAGCTGAAATCCCCTCCCTGATCTCTCCAATAAGGTACTGAGAGGTTTAAATAGAGAAGCAGAACCAGATTAAACTCAATTGCCCTAGAAGATAACCCTTCTTATCCTTATTCGGTTTCCCGCGTCCGTCATCTGCACACCTGGATGACAAAGGATCGTACTTCACTGTCCGAGGAAATCTCTAACTGTATAGCCCGAAGACCCTCTTCTGCCATGTATGGGGTACCGAGTCGATTGCTTACCTATAGTCTATGCAGAAGGCAGAGAAGTTCCGATGGTTGCATTTAATCACCTTGCCAATGACAGCATCAATGAGGAGTGATTCCTTGGTTTCACGACAACTGCCTGAACATCCATTTTGCGCGATAATATCGCCTGTTTTAAATCAAGGTAACGAGTGACTCGCGCGCTTAAAATGTATGTCAGTGTCATATATGGTGGGTAAACATGTGATAGGGTGGTATTTGCTTGGGTCTGTGATATCCTGCTCTTTAGGAACATAATGAGTGATCCCAGTAGTGAAGAGGCTCGGTAGCGACTTCTGGTCGAGAGCCTCTTAGAACTGTCGGGCGAGCACAGGGTGACACACCATGAACCCCTTTATCCAGTAGTAGCCTGTCAAACCCCGGACTTTTCCAGTTCGGTACCCTACGGATTGCCTCAGCTACATCGTCCGGCGTAATGACGGCGCTCATGGGCGTAATATTCGCACTCTGACTCGCCACAACTTCTGTCCAAGGGCCTTCGCTATGGTTAATGAACTCCGACCACAGGCTTCGCCAGAAGGCGGCAGTACGGCCTGATTGGGCTCTCCACATACGGCAGTTAGGTCCAACAGGGCTACGTAGGGTCCGTTACACAAACACGGTAATCTTTTAATCCAGCTACTTGTTCTATCACTGGGAGGGTGGCCATCCTAGAAAGTGTCAAATTTATTGTCCGCAAGTTTTATTGTCTCATTAAAAACTTTGTTAAGATTGTCATTGGAATATGTGTATAGGGTATAGGGTTGTGTAACTTATACTCAGAATCACTTACTTGTTCCAAGTGTCAGATTAGAGAGAAATGGGACAATCATCACACAATCAAACTTATAACCAATAATTTAAGTATTTTTTATAAATTTACAGTCCACATGATTGTCGGTGGCTACTGCACTCCATGGACACCTGTAAATATAACCAAACCCAGTAAATGCGACAAAGTAGCCAACCAATGACCTCTCGGTCCCAATTTTTACCAATACCATCTAATTTTGTAAACTGTTAGGTATTATGTCTATGCAATTATATCTCGAAATGATTTTTCATTTTAGACAAAAATGCGGCACACAGAATACTGAATCATTCTTGATAACAAATCCAGTAAGTGGAATATCAAATGACTTTGAGCAGTCAGACTCTGCAAGACGCGTTCGACTGGTCCTGTCAGAAATACTACAAATGCAAGCACAGATAACTGAGTACCAGCAGAATAAAAATTCTAACAGTGATTTTTCTGTTAAACCTTCAGAATTATTTGACAACGACGTTTATTTGGAGGAAATTACTGATGTAATTTGTATAAGCCTTGCAGAATTACCCAACTTACTGAACATCACTGATATTGTTGAAGTATTACTTTATGTTAACAAAGGTCCAGTTATCATATCATGGCTTGTAGCAAATATGCCAGACACGTTATATGAAGGTAAAAACAAGACATATTTTTTAGAATCCCACTGTCATACAATTTTGTCTTGTCCATTTATCCTAATTACATCATAGCGCAATTTTGTTCTGCCTATCTGTCCTAATTAAATATTATAGTATAAACAGCATGTATGTATGTATGTATATGTTGGTAACATCAATAAACTATTATTAGGGACCCTATTCTTTCAAAAAATACCAAAGTTCAACGTAAACAGTGAAAATCCTGTGCCTGTTTTTTTTACGAAAAACAAAGTACAATTACAATTATGTGTGAAAAATAAAGCATTTAACAAGGTAAACAAAAAATTTCTACCCTCATCATTATATTCATATTTACCACATGCTCACTGATGAAGGAAAACATTATGATGAAACCTGCAAGAAAAAAAATATTTCGCGGGGATTATATGACGTCCGCCAACACGCATTGAAGCAGCGCGCCGGACTAATCGCTCTCAGAAATGAAAGGAAGTCATTGGTAAAATCTATATTTCAAATAAAAATTAGAGATATAATAATTTTAGCAAAAGTGAGTTTAGTTAGAAGATATGATATGATGACTGAGGCCTTTATCACTTTATCCTCTGACACTCATAGTTTTGTAGAAGAATGGTGTTGAAGTAGAAAATAAAATAAAAATCGATATTGTATCATATAAGAGATAGAAAATATAAGTTTAAGGATATTTTTGTATAAAATTGCAAACAAAAATGATTTTTGCATGCTAGTAAGATATGAATAACCAGTTATATAATTATTGTCTGACTTTTGAATGGATCTAGGAAAGTTTTTGTGAAATGGAAATTTTGTATAATAAACGGTCATTGGTGATTATTTTAAAAATGTAAATACATTAAATAGATCCCACACAGGCAAAGCCGGAAATTTTGAATTTGAGATGAAAATTTTGAAAATGAGATAGAATTTTTTTGGGGCCATCCCGATATTATCAAAATACAATTGACAAGGATATCGCGTACATACGAATAAACATTAAGCTGATACATTTTTTTAAGTCTGCTAAAATCCGTAATCCCTGTCCCTCTACCCCTCTGGGTGACAAGCGTTAGAGTATATGTAAGAAGTGAGTTCTCTCTACCCCACTTTAATTTTTAATTGATTTCTGATAAGTGCAGATTATAATTCAACTGTCATAATTTATCAAAAAATATTTTATTACATAATTTATCAAAAAATATTTTAATAGTCTATACATATTTCCGGTTGATTGTTAAGTTTTTTACCAATAGAAGACTCCCGAACATAAATTTCAACCTGCTTCAATGATAACTATATTCTGTTTTTATATCAAATAATGCTGCACATAACATTATAAGTATAGTGTATTTAATTGTTGCGTTTTCGTAGTTGCTGAATCCCTTGTTCTAAATGCTGAAAGAGGTGAAGAAGGTGGTATTCGGGCAAAGGCATTATTAAGTTTATGTGCAATGTGTCCCTATTTAGCGGCATTTGTAAGAGCAAAAGCAGTTACAGCTTCCCGTTTACCAGCACTAGTTATAAACCTTACTTTAATACATCATCAAGATGATTTGGTAAGTTAATCGATATTTCTTAACACCGTAATTTAACTATTTTCTCAGTTTTTTTAATCCAAGCCCATTAAGTCATTGTTTTTTTTTTTTGAGAATACCTACTATTTATCTTAATTTGAAGAGGTCAAATAAATGATTAATAGCTAAAAAAAATTGACCTTGTAATTGCTATATTCATAGACTTATTATACTACTGCGTATGAACCGGTTCATTGAACAAACAAAATGGCGCCGACTCATTGGTGCTAAAATCTTTAGGGAGCACCAACGCGAGCTTATATGCTTTCTGTGCGTCCGTGCAGTGTTTCCACTTTTAGATATTTTGCACTATTTTATGGTAAATCTACTAATATAGGAAGGGCTCTAGGCGTTTCTTCAAGTTGACAAGGTTTTGGATAATTTGGGGTTAAATCGAACTTCAGGTAACGCTCTTTTCTATATGGGTTTTTATCGAAGGGTATGAGGTCAAAATAGCTAGAAAAGTGTAGAATGAAAAAGTTTATCGTTCTGTATATCGGAATAATTGTATAATATTTTACTTAGTTACATATTCATCATTCCTATCCAGATTAAGTGTTATTATAATTTAAAAATGAGAACGTCTTCTTAATCATAAAACTCTAGTTTTTTTTGTTGTAAAGTTTCTACAAAAAATATCGTGAAATGATATTCAAAACTTAAACTTAAAATATTTAAAATTAGGTGTAAATAAGGTTTTTCGGATTTTACGGAGTATTTCTACAAGTTCTAGGATAAAATCACAAGTGGAAACACTGGTTCCATGGTAGTTCATGAATATTTAAGCGATGGCGCTGATTGCTTCTATGCTTAAACTGTGAAAAATTTTTGTTCGCATGACCATATTTTGTCATTTATATCGATGGCTGTATTAGACTATCCATGTTGTTCTGTGGGTGATATATAAAATGATGATGGTAAATATTTCATGATACCTGATAGATGGTGGTATAGACTCATAACACTATATGACATATTACACTAATTAAAAAAAATTATGTCTGTTTCAGGTATCTTTTATGTCAGGTCTACTACTGGGCTTCGATCAATCAACTAGGGGCTGGTTTGCATCTTTTCTTAGAAATTTTCATAAAAGAGGTAAAGGCGATGGTAACGCAGCATTAATTAAACTACGACAAGAATTACTTAATAGGCTGAAAGAAGCTGCTGCAGGCGTTGACGCATCAGCATTATTAAGGCTGTATTGTGCTCTTAGAGGAATTGCAGGAATAAAGTTTCAAGATGATGAAGTGTCTGGACTTTTGAGATTAGTTACTCAAAAGCCACCACCAACACCCGCCGGTGTTCGTTTTGTATCTTTAAGTCTCTGCATGATCCTCGCCTGTCCATCTCTAATGGGTAAGTTATATATAAACACGACACTTAGTCACAACTTTTTTCTAAAACATCTCTAAAAATAATTTTAACGAAATTTCAATAGAGATAACGAGTTTCCGTAGTTTATTAGTTAAAAAATTACTCACCATTTTAATGACAAAATATCATATATTACCAATGTACATAATGCAGAAGTAATATATGTTAGAATTACATAATATGTAATATATAAAGAAAATGACAACATTTGATTATTCTGTTATAATAAATACATATATTTTGAGAATACCATTCAACTGATATAAATGACATGTGTACGCTCCGCAAATAATATAACGGTTATTAAGGATATAATTTACGGTACATAATGATGTCTGGTCGAATTTGAGAGAATTTATTAAATATAAAAAATTACTCTTATTTACTTGTATTTCGTGACTTTCCTTTAGGAGAACACTAAGAAATATCTAAAAAAAAAAGTAACTTGCGTTTCGCCGGGTGCTGCTGCCGCGATTCGCCTACCGCTCTTACGTTGTGGTCACCTGTAACCGAAGCTCTCCTCTTCGATTCGTTCAACGTCGCACCTATACAGTGGCGAAGCTAGGGCTCCAAACTAGAGCAAGCCCAAGATATGGTTTTGTTGTTTATAGCAGTTTTATACAAACACACCAATCTTGATCTGTCTCCACTATTCAGTTTCATATTCAGTGTTGTCGAGGACGTGTTTAACAAAGCTCACAGAAGGCATACTATTGCTAGATAGATTGTATGACATATCAGCAATTGCATACCTTCAGTGGCTTTGAAAAAAGCCGTTCGGGTTTGCTTGAGCGAAAGAAAAAGATATTTACATACAATATAATACATGAACAAAAGAAAAGCATCAAAAAAGTACAACAAACTTTGTACAAAATTAAAAAAAAATTATTTATATTCTAAATCGAATTGTCTGTCTCTCTTTCTTAAGGAAAGGTTTGATTACGTCCGCGTAAAATGTTAGGGAACGTTTTAATTGTACCAGTAACTGTTTTTCAATTACGATAAATGATAAGTCTGAAAGACGCTCTTGACCTGTGTATTTTCTCAACAAAGTTTAATGATTTCTCCTTTTCTTCACCGATTAGCACTTTAACACATTTTAATTCATCACAAGGAACACTATTATCCTCCATTTTCACTAAAATCTTTAAAAAAGCATAAATTCGCAACGCGCAATATTCATTCACGATTCACTCCACTCAAATAAACAAACAGAGTAAAGAGTAAACATTGAAATGTGAAGTGAACTTGGAAACGTATCGCCCGCGCACAACTTCACACTATAAAGCCCGGCTTTTTGCTTCATACTAATAGCTATATAAATATTTCATAGTTATATTTCATTAAAGAACATTTCGCCACAGGTTAGAAAGAGAGCGATCGTCTTCTCGAAAGCCCGGTAGAAAGCCCACGCCTGCGAGAGAGACGACTAATCGCTCAACTCCTTTTTTATGAGTATCGCTAAGGCTACGAGTTTATGACGTGTGTAGAACAGAGCAGCGCGCGGGAAATTTGAAATAGTTTGAAACAGTTTACGAGTTATTTTATTAATTGATATTATTGATTGAGCAGCTTGATAAGGCAAACCCGGCTTTTCGGCTTCTATGGAGGCTTCGCCACTGTATCTATATACTTAAATTTGATGCCTTAGAACAGTCATTTAAAATTGTCTGGCTTTTCTATCTATACTCTGAACAAAAGAGGAACGCAAAGAATAGTGCGTATAAAACAAAATATTATGGATGTCTGTGACCGTTTAGTTTATTAACCCTTAATTAGGCGCATGGGGTCAATACAATATCAAATTGAAAAAATATTGTGTTTGAAGCGCACTCGGGCTCTTTCTAGCTTTCTAATTCTCCGCGGGGTAAGAGAACCGGAGACCCTTTTTACTGGAAACGAGGCATTCTGTCTCAGTCCTCAGAGGAGACAATGCATCCGCATTTTGATTCTTAATTGAAGATAAATGTAGATGTCTATGGGCCACAGCATTCACTTACCATCAGGTGGACTGTGTGCTCATTTATCACCCTTATTCTGTAAAAAAAATATCCTAGACGGCCTCCGCCATTACATCAGGTTTGATAGACCACAAATCCTCTCGAAAGAACATCGGCCCGAAGCACCCGGAAGGTCGGGTATTAAAATTAAGCAAATTAAACGCGATAAAATCCGTAAAAGTATATTTATTCAATCGGTTTATCACTGATTTTGATACTCGTAATATTTTTGCCACATGTTGAATGTGTGCCCCTGCGCACTAATGCCAATTAAAGTAACAACATTAACATTTTGAGTGACGTTTACATCTGGAATTCTCAGTTAATTTGCAGTAACAAAATTGAAACTCAAATCCAAAAATTTATTTCGCAATATGAAAGAACTGAAATTCGAAATAACATTCCCAAAACTTTTTAATAGAATTTATGATCGATCAAATGAAATCTTAATAGATAAAATAAATCGAATATCAAATAAAATAAAATAATTACCCATGTCATTTATACGCAGTGAACGGTATTAAAATATGAAAAGTGCATTTCGAACAAATTCGATGCACCTCTATTCATTTCCGCTTATACTTTCTGGACGAAAAATCAAGTAGCGACATATTTTACAATATTTTTGAATGTTAAATTAAATAGGGACAATTCTTGGCTATGCGAAAGATCGCAATGACAAGGCATCTGAGATTAATAACAAAATACTGTCGAATATACAGGGGGAAAGCAAAGTTTATAGTTCAATAAATAGAATGGTCGATGAACAAGAAGCCACTAATTACCCGATGGAATTTTTAATAAAAAAATTATTTAAATATGCCCGGACTTCCTTCTCATGAAATTTGTTTAAAAATTGGCATTCCGATTATTCTGCTCCGAAATTTAAGATCACCACAACTTTGCAATGGAACTCGGCTAAAAGTAACCCAGTTGCAACAAAATATAATCGAGGCTCAGTTTTTAACAAGTTGCGGTGCAGGAGAAACCGTCTTTATTCCCAGAATTCCCATAATACCAAATAATTTTCCATTCCAATTTAAAAGAACGCAATTCCCAGTATCAGTGTGTTATGCAATAACAATTAATAAGGCTCAAGGTCAGACTTTTCGTGTTGCTGGAGTAGATCTCGGTGTCAGTTGTTTCTCGCATGGTCAGTTGTACGTCGCTCTTTTCCGGGTTAGCAGTTCTAGAAATCTTTATGTTCACGTGCCGGACGGGTCAACTTTCAACATAGTTTACCTAGAAGCTTTGCGCTAAAGTATTTTTGTTCTATAAGTACTTAAGCCTCATGTGAACGTGATCTAAACAATATTACCAATATATTAACTTAATAACACACAAGGAGTTACACTCCATCCAAAGCCCAGCGACTCTATAACATATATAGGAATAACGTCTTAGCAAAATTTGTTTAGTCTGATGGGCATTTCCTGTTGACTTACAAAAATGAAAGATCTAGAACGTCTCGAATCGTCTCGTGAATCACGTTGTTTTCCCGTCCCCGGGCTCTTAGAATTCAACATCAGAAGTTTCAGATCTTCGATTTTGACAACCCCGTTGTCGCTGGCATAAGCAACAGGATCCGCGTACGAAGTCGCGGGCAGAAGCTAGTTTAAAATAGGATTTTCCACTAAGTATATTTGCCTCTTACGACATCCACGGGATGATATGGATGTTCATACACCGCTACTACACGGTAATGGATAATTTCTCAAAATATTTTATGTATCGAGAACGTCTTGCAGTCCTCGTTTCTCTAGCGCTTACTATTTTTTAATTATTTTAATAAAAATTTTATATTTTAATTATCAACAATTAAAATACAAATAATTCGATATTTTAATTGTTGATAATTTTTATTTTTGGATATGAACATGGTAATCACTCTAAGTTATATTTACCTTCATTAAAAAAATATTGACATTACGAGGGCGACACTGAAAATTTCGGGAATCAAGGAAGTGACACAATGTTACTATTTAAAAATGTATTTATTGCTTTTCGAAATATTCTTCGCAAAATTTGACACATTTTTCCATACGATGGAACCAATCATTGAAACAACCATTCCATTCGGAAGTTGGGGTCTCCAAAATGGCCGTTTTGTAGGCGTCCATATCTTCTTCAGGTGATGAACATCTCTGTCCTCGCAATTTATTCTTTATTTTAGGGAAAGTATAGAAATTATTAGGGCTTAGGTCGGGGCTTTACGGCGGATGGTCTAATAATTCTATGTTTTCTTGCTCTAAAAACTCTTTTGTTCTGTGTGCGGTGTAAGAACTCGCATGGTCGTGATGGAGGATGATGCGGCGGTTGCAGTTCTCTTTACGGAGTTCAAAAACGACCTGTGGCAAACAAATGCTAGCATACCATTCTGCATTAACCGTTCTTTGTCCCTCAAGACGAATAGTCGTAACATGGCCGGTTTTGGAGACAAACGTGGCCACCATTTTTTTGAAACACTCCGTGAACGAACAATTTTTGTTGGCATTAACTCATTTTTGAACACCCAAACTCGTGACTGGTTTTTTGTTTCGGGTTCGTACGCGTATATCCAGGATTCGTCACCTGATACAATGTCGTATACAGCATTTGAGGATCCTGCGTGGAATCTTTCGAGAGTTCTGACGCACAAAGTAACGCGAGTCGCTTTTTGCTCTTCACAGAGCGAATGCGGTATCCATCGGGAAAACAACTTTTTACACCTAATTGTTCATGCAAGATTATTTGTTACCTTACAGTTTATTTTATTTTAACCAAGACAAAAGAAAAGGATTACCTTAAATATCCATTACGGTGGTAGAATACAATTTTATATTATATGTGCATGACGAATGTTACAATGTCCAATGTAAACTTTAAGCGATTATATAATATGTATCTTATTGATTAAACACTTACATAATTATTATTTTTACTACAATCATCTATTCATGTTTTGGCAGCTGCACCAGAGCATGAGAAAAAGGCCATTGAATGGGTACAGTGGTTGGTCAAGGAAGAAGCTTATTTCGAAAGGTAAATATAATATTAACGTGTGTATTATATATGATTAAAACTACTTTTACGGATTTTATCGCGTTTATTTTTACTTTTTATTTACTTTTATTTTTAATTCCCGACGTTTCGGGTGCTTTCCAGTACCCATGGTCACGGGGGACTGAGGTGACTGACGTCCCGATGTCAATGTTAAACCCGGAGTACCTTCAGCTTTTTTAATTATTGGCTTTATGGTCCGATCTACGCAGAATGAACTAACTATGTCCTGAAGGTCTTGCAGTGGTATGCTTGGGTTTAGTTTTAATTTTATTGATTATAGGATCCCAAGCAGGTGGTAGTACCCAGCCTCCTTCTCTATTGAAATTAGGATGTTTTTTAATTTCAATAGCCTCACGTATCATCCTTGGTAGGAATCGGTGTTCTTTCGCGAGGATTTGTGGTCTATCAAATCTGATGTAATGGTTGGGTCCGTCTAGGATATGATCACAAACTGCAGACTTCCTATCCTAAATTCAATAGAGAAGGAGGCTGGATACTACCACCTGCTTGGGATCCTATAATCAATAAAATTAAAACTAAACCCAAGCATACCACTGCAAGACCTCAGGACATAGTCAGTTCATTTTGCATAGATCGGACCATAAACAATAATTAAAAAAGCTGAAGGTACTCCGGGTTTAACAATGACATCGGGACGTCAGTCATCTCAGTCCCCCGTGATCATGGGTGCTGGAAAGCGCCCGAAACGTCGGGAATTAAAAATAAAAGTAAATAAAAAGTAAAAATAAACGCGATAAAATCCGTAAAAGTAGTTTTAATCATGTATAGTGTTCGCGTAAATATAAGAAATCATTGTGTGTATTATATGTTTCGTTTTCTGTATTGATTTCATGTTTTCTATATTTTAACAACTTCCTAACTTTTTATAGCACTTCAGGTGTTACGGCGTCGTTTGGGGAAATGCTGCTACTGATTGCAATTCATTTTCATTCTGGACAGTTGGCTGCAGTTGGCGAACTTGTTTGCGCCACTCTCGGTATGAGAGTACCCGTTCGTCCAAACGGCCTGGCTCGTATTAAACAAGCGTTTACGCAAGAAATATTTACAGAACAGGTATACTTCTAAGTGATTAATAATTATAAAATCGTTGTGATCTTTTTAAATCACAATATTTAAACTTCCAACAGGTAGTGACCGCTCATGCAGTAAAAGTTCCAGTTACAGCAAATCTTAACAGTAACATACCAGGGTATTTACCAGTACATTGCATTCATCAACTGCTGAAATCTCGAGCGTTTTCTAAGCATAAGGTGCCCATCAAAAATTGGATATATAGACAAATCTGCAGTTGTACAGCACCCTTACATCCCGTTATGCCAGCTCTTGTCGAAGTCTATGTTAGCTCTATACTCGTTATTAACAATAAAGGTGCCAATGAGTATGTTAATAAGCCTATAACTGAAGAAGAGATAAGAAAAGTATTTAGAAACTCAATATTCGGAGTAAACTTTGATTCTCAAACCAGCAAACCATTTTCTCCCATGGAAACAGATAGTGCAGAATCATCAGTTGATATTCAAATAGAAAAACCAACGTTAGCCTCCCAATTACTGCTTATTTATTACCTTCTTCTTTACGAAGATGTTCGACTTTCAAATACAGCAACACTGATAGCTAATGGTAGAAAAATAAAAAGTTATTCAGCAGCTTTTCTCTCTGAACTACCAATTAAATACTTGCTGCATCAAGCACAAAAAGATCAAATGAGCTATGGTGGATTGTTCAGTCCGCTGCTTCGTTTATTAGCCACTCATTTTCCTCAGCTTTCTCTTGTTGATGATTGGATGGATGATCAAGTTTTTGGCGATTTGTGTCGACATCAAATCGACGTACATTTATCAGAATCTTCGATAAATGAAGCATTTTTATGTATTGAAGAAAATCCCTACAAAACAGGAAAGATTTTAAAAGCAATGCTAAGCAAGAACCCCACAGATATTTGGCCTTTTGCAGAAATGTTTGTGAAATATTTCAAAAGTGTACTCAGTGACCAAGTACCAAGACACATTCAAGAATTATATCGAGAAGTTTGGCTACGATTGAACACTGTCCTACCTCGTTGTCTCTGGATTATGACTATTAATGCTCTACTTGATATCAACGGCAATGGCAGAAATGTTACCATTACACAAGAAAATATTTTAGTAGACCCTTTACAAGTTTTAAGATGTGACATCAGAGTTTTTAGATGTGGACCAATTTTAAAAATAATACTTAGAATATTGGAAGCCAGTTTAGCTGCTTCTAGAAGCCAATTAAGTCGTCATTTGCTAGATAAACCTCTACTAGAGAAGAGTGGGCAACTGACATCAGATTCAGAAAGGGAAGAATTAAAGAATGCTTTGGTTGCTGCCCAAGAAAGTGCAGCATTACAAATATTATTGGAGGCCTGTTTAGAAACAAGTGAAGACCAAGTTAAACCAGAACTTATGTGGTCTTTGCGCGAAGTAAGAAGTATTATTTGTTCTTTTCTGCATCAAATATTTATATCTGAGCCGTCGTTAGCTAAACTCGTACATTTTCAAGGATATCCGAGAGAACTAATACCAGTAACTGTTCAAGGAATTCCTTCAATGCATATTTGCTTAGATTTTATCCCTGAACTTTTAAGCCAAGCATCACTAGAGAAACAAATATTTGCAGTTGATTTAGTATCTCATTTATCAATTCAGTATGCTTTGCCAAAAGCAATGTCTATTGCAAGATTGTGCGTTAATACCCTTTCTACTCTTTTATCAGTACTGCCCAGCGATTTACGTCTGGAACTATTTCAACCTGTTCTTAAGTCGCTTGTAAGAATTTGCACTGCTTTTCCTTCACTTCTAGAGGATATTACATCTTTATTATTACAACTTGGGAGAATATGTGAATCACAAGCATCTCTTGGCCATTACTGGAATGATGCAAACATTTTGGGTGAAGGAGCTTATGTTGAGTCCGATGTCAAGAAGACACTAAAGTTCTAGTTGCCGAAGTTCTATGTAGAGATATAAAAGTCACTATGTCAGAAATCGTACAAAAAGCTCTATTAAATGATAAGTTGTATTAATGTTATAAAAATAAAACAAATCGAATTTTTTAATAAACCTTTTTCCTTTCTGCAAGTGATGGGTGTAATATTTGAAATTAAATCTAACTGTAGAAGAACAACCTGCACACCAATGGTAAAACTTCAATCATCATTATCTGTGTCATTTGCAAATGTCTCTCCCGTAAAAAAGCACTCTCCCGTTGGGAACATTTGCCTTTGTCGCCGTCGATTGACGAGCATAGTTACCAGACTTTTCCCATATTTAATGGACCTTCCTGTCGCGTCTAGACATATTACGTGTGACGTTAACGAGATGGTTATACCGCCGCCTATGGTAGAACCTATTACATACTAGTTAGAATTTTTTTTAATCTGTTCGACTGGCCTATAAGTCGAATGATGATAAACAACGTTGTATATTTGACACCTATCGAAGGGACCTTCCTGCAATTTCGCATAGTAGATAACGGGTCAGCTCACACCGAGACGTGACGCGGCGCGCACTTTTTAAAATAGTAATACAAAATGTAACTATTTACTGCACAAAAAGATACACATTACGCCGCGCTGCACCTCTAACTCGGACGGCCTAAATGCCTCACGGCGTAACGCGGCGCATCACGACGCAGCAGTACTTCGTCGGTAGGCGCAGCGTGCAAATGCGGTGCGCTACCAGCCAGACTTAACGATGCGCTTCGCGACGTCGGCTGCGCGTTGCGAAAACATTGGCCTCTTCAAGCATCGTCGCATCGCGTAGCTTCTCTGTGGGAACTGGCCCTTAAGACACAAGGGATGAAATGGGATGATGAATTATTTATGCTGCCACCTACTACAAAATTTACTACCATTATTTAAGGCCGAATACGATGCGAATGACCTTGCTCGTTACGTGGCGAACCGAGCGCTCTCTAGTATATATATATCTATGGCGCGCTGTCTTTCGAACATCACGTAGCCGTACGAGTGCGCGTATGCAGAGTAATGAATAACAGAGAGAGCATTGTTTACTTCTTAATTAAATCTTTTTTTATTTATAGTATTAGTTCCTACAGATTACAAATTCTGTACTTTATTCGTTCCAAACATAAAAATATTGATATATGATTATAAGTTCTGTAAAGTAGTTATTCTGTAAAGAAAAATTATTGAATTGACATCGATTTTTTTTTCTGAATTCGTGCATCGTACGTACTATTTGTTCTTGTGAGTTTTAAAAGACGCCGTAATGCAAATTGCATAAATAATAAAGAAAAAAACTAAAAGTTCCTGTTTGTCCCATAGTGGGTTTAGGTACTGTGTGTGTAAATTCTCAAGACTACTCCGACCGGTCAATCACTTCACACCGTAGTATGTCGGTTTTTCTTAATTATGTACTTACCCCATACTTTCGGACAATACATTGACTATGACATTATTTGCGGTCTCTGTGCTTGCACTACTCTATACATTTGAGAAGAAGAGAGTTTATCACTTTCCGAGAAACGTATAAATGACTAGTTTGGCTTATGTAAATTAGTAAACATGCAGCCTATTAGGTAGCCTCTAACAAAAAAGTATCTTAAAAAAAATAGAACTTACCACATTCGAGCAGCGTTCTTGCGATAAACTCTCTTTGGTTTACCACTTAGGTAATATTTATTTCTTACCCATATTCACATTTATAGTCGCGCGTGTAAACCACTAAATTTACGATTTTCAATACAGACATGACTATTTTCACCTTACGCTACACATCGAAGCGCCTGTTAAATTATAACGGCAAACTTTTATCTGGCAATGTACAATATTATTACTAGGCGTTAGTAATTAAAACGAATTATGTTAATAATTTTTTTTTGTATTGTAAAAGGTCGAAAATGAAGACTGCAGGCATCTTCGAAATCACAATACAAATATTTTTACGTAGAAATAATTTTATTAACTATTTTATTAACATTTTATTATATGCAACAGAGTTTTGGAAGGGAAATAATTTTTAGATATCATTTCTTAACATTTTTTTTTAAATTAATATCTTGACTTATTTTAAAATTTTAAAAAAGACTGGCACCTTTTGAAGGAACCGAATAAACCTACAAAAAATGTTAACGCTTGGAATTACTTCAGGTCAAAGTTGTATTGAACAGAAATACGTAAAGTTTCGATTGTTCTCTTCGTATTCGGCCTTAACACCAATCCCAATAAAAAGTCCATGCAGTCACATGCGCCTGGCAAATCCCGAGCGGTAACATGCGACCGCTCCCACCCGCAGCAATTAAAACCATTAAAATTTATATTTAGAGACTACTTTTCTATGAAGAAGTTTGGCTTTATAAAATCTACACAAAATTCTCTATATAAAAGTCAGGTTTGACTTTATTACAAAAAGACTATGTATTTTGATAACGAAAAACAAAATATACCAAGCGAATGTCGGCAGCGTGAAAATCACAATTATTTCAATATATATTACTCGAAATTATTTACGTTAAAAGATAAATTATATTCACACAAAAACTTATATTACAATTTTATAATAAAACACTAAAAAGATCCAAAAATCAACACAATAACATTCACGCGAAAATGGCGTACGACATCATGAACGTAGATTATAAATAAATATACATAACTTGACTTTTTATTGCACTAGAGAATAGAAAATTTCATATTGATTCTATGATGCCAAACTTCTTCATAGAAAAGTAGTCGCGTCGAATTCACCCGCTTGGATTTTGACGGAATAGCGCCGCGGTCGGATTCAACCGCTTGGGGACTGAGAGGTTAATGAAAATATTTCGATAACATTTACAATATAGCATTACTGCACTTTATAAACAGAGCTGAATTAGTGGGCCTTTAAATTTTAATTTACTTGAACGATTCGGTGTCCACCGCAACAATGAAATTTTTTATTGCAATTTTAATGACCAATTTATGTGCTCGTATGTGAATGAAAACTAGCTGAAGAAATGCGGGCTTCTTCGCAAGTTATTATTAAGGGCATGAGACGGGTATTATTGAGGGCAGTGCGGCGGGCTCTTTCTTGCTCCAAAAATCACTCAGAAATTATTAGCGGCCTATGTTCAGTAGCATTGAATACCCTAATACAATACAAACAACTATAAACAGTTAATACAGCCTATATGTGGTAATCACACATAGGTTGTATTAACTGTTCCTGAGATTATATTTAACCTAATGGAATATCCTATAAGAAATCACATTTGAAAAATATATCAATATACGATATCATTTCTTGTTGGATATCCGAGTTGCTAGAAATACCAAACGGCAATTGTTAAACAAATGTATATTTTCCAAGGTTAATGAAAAAACAAATATAAAAGTTGGCTAATATCTACTACATCGTTTAATGATTACTATAACACAAACTATTTAATAAATTTTATTATTCTGTAAATACTATTTTATTTATTAACCCTTTGAACGCCAACAACGCTTACAAGCGACAAACGTAAATGGCCGCTAGAACGCCAACGACGAGTTTAGGCAACAAATAGATGTGCTAATTTATAATCTTATATAGAAAATAGGTGAAAAGATTTTTTATTTTGTCATCTCCGTATGTTACTTAATTAAATTTAACTAAAGATAAGCTTTATCTCAGTAGTATTCATTTCAAATTTGATAGGAGAAGATAAACTTCATAATATATTATATAATTCACCAGATGCCATTGTAGCTTTGAAGCGACACTAATAATGGGGTTATTTAATCTTTTCTACAGTTTACAAGGAGATTGTGCTAATTGAACTAAAACATTTATTAAAACTATAAACAATGACACACAACAAACAAACAAAATTCATTAAGGAATTAGTGTTACTTAAATTTAAAAAGTTAAATTATAAAAAGTTCTTTAAAATTTAGACTGTAGCTACAGTGGCGCCATCCTTATTTAACGCTTTCCTACGGACATTTTTATACAGTCTGTACTCCTTACCTCTACACTCCATACTACATACATTTATAACATCGATTTATCTGTGGTCATTAAGTAGTCGCGTCACTAATTTGGAACTATCCTTCATTCGCGCCATATATTACTCTACTCTATGATTCGCGCCCTCGCCGTAGTCCGATATATTACTTTCCTCTATGCCGTAGTCGCTTTTGGCCATCAATAGTGACGTTTTGAATTTATTTTCCCGAAAACAAACAAACATCTTGCTATAAATGTTTTTATTCCATTACCACATCCCTAAAATAGCCGCGTTTTCTTTGAAACCGTACGCCATTGTCGCTTTACAAGTAATGACGTCAATTTCATTTTAGAGATGCGCTTTGTTCGATAAAAACTCGTTTCAATGGAGTTTAAATAGATAAACTAGTTTGTTAATTTGATTATTTCGTTTATGTTAGTTCATTAATGATACAATAGTAACATTTATTTAATAAATTAAACACCTATATACTTGGAAAATCGATTACAGTAGCAATGATAAAGATTTATCGATATTAGTAATACCCCATTTAGCATTTTGTAGATATTTAAAATAGTAAATACATGTTTTGGCGTAGAAAGCATACTTCCGATGCGCTGCGATTGGCGTTCAAATGGTTAAACAATATAAGTACCTTCTTAACCTTTTGAGCGCCAAAGTCGTCTATACGTGACCAGCACCCGCGTGCCCTGAGCGCCAACGACGTCTATAGATGACAAAAAACCCGGCCCACAAAAATATGAAATATAGACATTGGAAAATTATTACTGGTATTTTAATTCTACACCCCTCAAAAAAGAATAACCCAGCAACATGTGAGTATAAAAAACAAGTCTTCTAGAGCCACAAGTACTAAGAAACATTGAACTAAAAAAAATGGATTTTTATCTAAGCAAATACTATGTCCAGCACGCCAAAGTCGTCTATGTTAGACCGCTAGTGTTGTAATGCGTTAGCCATAAATTTATTGAAAACTATTCAAAATTAAGCTCAAACGTGTTATTTTTTTCTATTATTATTGATATTTAAATAAAACAAAAGGTTAGAAATATAAAACTATAATTAGCTACATGAATTAAAAAAAAATAACAAATTATCTTCGCATAATAAATCTAATATCTCAACTCTGGCGCATCCTTAGCGCGACATCGAAAATCAGTTCACTGGGCGCCGTGGTCAAGTATAGACGACACACTGATGACGTCCTAAGCGATTAGCGGGAAAATTAGTGCAGTGCAACATGAACGATTCCTCAGAACTCATTCGGATTTTGGAAAGCGTCGACGATGATGAATTTTCGGAAATTTAAAATTATCGTGAAACCAAAGTTTTTCGTTTTCGATTAACTCTACCTCAATGAGGTAGGAATACACTTTATAGTCTTTTTACGGTTAATTTCTTTTTTTATAGCATAGGGTAATAAACGAGCACACAGTCCACCTGATGGCAAGTGGTTGCTGTGGCCCATAGACATTTACATCTATCCTCGATTACGAATCAAAATGCAGATGTGCTCTCACCCGTGAGGACTTAGATGGAATGCCTCGTTTCCAGTAAAGAGGGTCTCCGGTTCTCTACACTTACCATACGAAACACAGCAGCATTAAGCTACTATTTGATGCCGATATTCCGTGAGAGCGTGGTTCTTCCCCGGTTGAGCCAACCCATTCGTGCTACAACTATTAACTCCCGTAATATAACTGCAGCATGGCTCTACCACGTTAGAAAATTTGCTTTGGCCAGCTAAACATTTATGTTTTATTATTCCATAAGATTTTTATTATTTTAAGACTAATATTACCTATAATTTATTAATTATTTTTAATTGTTGTTTTCTATATTAAGTACTGATTGAGTTAAAGACCAAGATTTTAATATTTTATGACTAGACCTAGTGCAAATAATTATTTACAATTGTTGAATAATTATGTACCCTTTGTTGATTTCTGTAATAAGTACTGATTTTTTTATTCCATGACCAAGATTTTAATATTATAAGACTGATTTTTCTAGTGCGAATAATTACCTATATACAGTTGTTGATTAGTGAATAATTACGTACCTTTTCTATTTTAATAATATAAAATTACAAATAATAAATGTGTTTTCTTTACTTAAGGTATGAAGAGCAATTTTTCATTTTGTGTTGTGCGATTTTCTTTCTCAATCTCAAAATCATTTAGCAACATCAGTATCATATGAAACCCCCTTTATCATAAGAGCGTAAGACTTTTCTTCTGTGATTCACTTGGCCTACGCCTTGCCATAAAATATTTTGAATAGATGTCTGTATATTTTGGTTACATCGATTTTGAAATCGATACACAACGTGCGACACGGCTACATCTCTAAGAAAGTTTCAAAAAGAAAGGTCAGCTACGCCGTTGTCGTCCAGTCGTGACAGTGACGTCATCACGACGGAGAGTAGTGTTGTGGTTTACTACTATTTTATTGTTATTGTTTGTTTTTTATTTATGTACAAAGTACATATATAAAAAGAGTGGAAGACAGCACAAGATTAAATAAAACATACCCGATTATAAAGACTCATTTATTGTATAAAAAACCAACAAAAACAAGTTATTTTGTGTTATCGATATATCAACTCTTGGCAGCACTGTTTTTTTCGTAGGTATTTTTGTTTACTTTTCGCTTTGGCGTACAGGACACGGTAGTGAGTTTTTGGGGTGGCGCTCAAAAGGTTAATAGATCAATAATAATTTTAGTCACTTTTATATTCTTTGCAACGTATTGCAATTTGTAGATGTTAAACAACGTAGGCAAACAGGTAAACTCATTTTAAATGCAACCAATAATAATGAAATACTAATTGAAAAGATTATATAAATAACTGCTTTCGTCCGCATGGAAGTCCGCCATACCGCGTTCTTTATAATAAATTTTGAGGATAAAAGGTAGCCTAGCCTTTTTAATATTTCCATCTATCTGAATACCAGGTATCATCAAAATCGGTTAAGTGGCTTAGCATATCTTTTCAAAGCTTTTTTCACTTTTTTCAAGTTCGCGGTTTAGCGGACAATAACGACCAAATTTATAAAGCCTACATACCTGCGGTAGTTGTAGCCTACATACCTGGAGTTAGTTGTAAATTGTGGCCAGTTTGAAAGACAAATCATTTGCTTTTTATTTTATTTTATTAAAGTAATGTGTAAACAGTATAATGTAACATGATTCAGGAATCTGTGTCATGAGATAAGTTTTTTACAGATATTTGAATTCAATGATTTATTTAAAGATTGAGGAAAGCTGTTATATGACGGCATTAAAAAAATACGGATGGTGTTGTTTTCGTTCAAACATTTTTAAAAACATGCCTGGTTATTGTTCTTTCTTTTAAGGCATCAACTACGCGGATAGCTCACAAATTAATGAAATTAGGGCCTACAAACCAAATAGAGGGTGAAAATTATAATTTATTGGCGAAATAATTAAAACAAAATTTTGTTTAAAATCATTTATTATTCGTGTTCAAAATTTTCGCTGCGGTTCCTAACACAATCACTGGCCTGCCCGTCTTCTCACTTCTGTTGTTGTTATTTTTAACTTCATCTCCAGTTTCTCATAATTTACAACTAACTTTAAAATTTTGGGTTTTGTCACAATCACTGGCCTGCCCGTCTTCTCACTTCTGTTGTTGTTATTTTTAACTTCATCTCCAGTTTCTCATAATTTACAACTAACTTTAAAATTTTGGGTTTTGTCATCAAAAATCATTAAAGCTTGATAAAAATAAAATAGTCGCACTTCGTCTAAGACAAGTTGGGTTCAAATGGTTCTCAATAGTCCTCCGCTTTACGGCTTTGCATCGACCTTCCAAACACCTTGTATATAGATAGTACCTTTTAACTTAACCAAACGAACTAACTCAATTTTATCAGTTCAGTAATTTAGTCATGATAGCTGGCCAAATATTCGCATTGAAATAGAAAAGTTGGTTTTTTTTCTGCAATACATTTTGGCAGCGGATTATATTTTTGGCTTATATTTTCTGAAGTAAAATTACAAAGGATCGTGTATTTGGAGCAGAAAAAACATTTTGCCATTGCATTGAAATTACATAGTGAATAGTTTAGTATTTAATCTTTTAATAGAAGATTGTACAAACTAACAAGACTATATCCCTGCTGTGATACCATTATATATTACAGTTTGCTTAAACTCACAGACTAATATGATCTTAACCGTTTTCGAAATATTGAAATTTAAACGATTTTTTTACTAACAATTGTGAACATCAATCAAAATTCTAAAATTTCCAAGTTCACTCAGTCTGTCAACACAGTTATTACCTTTATGGAGTGTAAAAGTAAGGAGTACAGACTGTGTATTAAAAATTGTCCATAGACAACCGTTAAATAAGGGTGGCGCCACTATAACTACGGGGTAAATTTTAAAGAACGCAACGAAAAATATTAGTGCGATAGACGACTTTTTCGAGGTTATATTTACTAAATAAAATTATTTTAAATTTATTATATAATATTTATTACTGAGCACTTTAGCAGCACACTTAAACCGTCGACAACTGCTAAGTTCATTTCATCCCAGTAGCTACTCCAGCGCTGTTGTGGAGTTTTTGAGCTGTTATTTACTGCTTACAGATGGCCACTTTTTCTACTATTCTACTATGAGAGTTGGTACTCCTTACTTCTACACTCCATAATTACCTTTCTTTCTCTTCAGAACGAGACGGTCGTTTCTAGCGGTTTGTTGTGAATCCGTTATTGTCTTGGAATAAGATCAGACTTATTCCAAGGCAATAACGGATTCATTTTATGGAATATTAAAATGCGTTTGTAACATTCATTTAAATTTGTATTACCAATGAGCGAATTAGGTTTCTAGTAGCGATAATACGACGTAACCGCTTGTATGTTGCTCCCGGCGGCACCGGTTCTCATACAAAATAAGGTTGACATCCATTCTATTGTGTATTATAGTATTCTATGCTCAGCAGTGAGACATGTATAGGTTGCTATTTTATATTTCCAATATGTTAACTACAGTATGCCGAAATGATATGAATTCAAAATTAAAATAGTATATCAATATCATTTAATAAATCAGTGCTTGTTTTTAAAATTCTTATAAATAAGAGTAAACTAATACCAAAACATAATTTAATACATTATATGTAGCATGTTAGATAAGTCCACTGGATTTTGAGTCTCAAGTTGTCTGTACATCCATGCACACTGATTTCTTGCTGCTATGTTACCCACATCATTGTGTAATTGAGCCTACAAAAAATATGTACAAATATATATTATGTATATTAAGACCAACATCACATCCCAGATACTAAAGTGTATAATTTATACCGAAATAATAGAGATCCTTGTTAAAGTTAATGTACAAATACTCAACAAACACTACTTAATTTTAAAATGCCGTTAAGTCTCTTACTATCTCTAAGTCAAAATTACTTTTACATCACGAGACTTGACGACACCTTAAAATAGAGTAGAGTTTGAGTATTTGTCAGTATGAATTTTATTCCTGGAATGTTAAATAACAAGTGATGTTCAATTGTTTTTTTAAAACGTTACCTTCACACTAGGATGTTCTCCTGTGTCGTGGGGACAGTTTACACACATAAATTACACACAAACAAACAAGGAGACCCAGACAATTATTTGTAGCTCATACAAATATTTGCTCCGTGCGGAATTCGATCTCGCGGTCCTCAGCGCAACGCAAGGGGACCAACGAGTATGCGGCTCACCTGTGAAAAATGTCGACCGCCGTCCACGAACAACTGCATCAACATGAGAATTGAAAGTGCATTGCCGCGCTTTTGAAAAGAGCAAACTCGTTTCTTGAAGGTCCATAAGACGTATCGGTTCGGAAAAATCGCCTGTAGTAAATTCCCACGATCCAAAGAATTATTGATTCGATATAAAGAAGCCGTGCAAGGAAGAAAACTTCTTATCAAATCGCACAGGTGGTAGACCCCCAAGCAGCCAGATGATGCGGATAATGATATCGTGAATTTTGTCGCGTTGTACGTTGATGGAATTTGGCGGGTGGAATAAACCCGAACAATTCCTCGGAGCACTCTCAGCTGAAAATGCGATAGAAAATGCAAAGGGATGCAACACCTCTTCGACGCAACAGTGAATTGAGCCGATTAGAAAAAACTCAGTCGTCGACGGTCAAGTGCACGGAGCTGGCACTGGGGTGCCCCGGCCCAAAGATGAAATCTGCGCCTTATTAAGTTGCACGCGGTCGGCCGGCAAGAAATACTGTCCCGCTCTGCTGAGCACGCCAAGCGATTTGACCATGAAACTTTAGGCCATTCGATATGTCGACGCCGATCGGATTCCGATGCTGGCTGAGACAGCAAAGGGAGTGCCCTGAAATTGAGAAGACTAAGGGGTTCTTTTTTGCGGTAAATATATAAATATTGTGAATTGGTGTCCACCAAACTCAAGGATCATAGCCAAGTGTAGAAAGGTCGCCTAATGATGACTTTGTTAAATTACAAGATGTAAATTTATTAAATCTGTTTAAATATGACCAATTTATGTCAAAGGAATAAATTTAAATTAGAACTGCAAAATGTTTAATGTTTTTTTTTTTGGGAAAAAAAATATTAGTAACCTTATTAATTTCCTTTTAACCACCCCTGGTAAGCTTGAAACGCTTGTTAGGAGTGGTTCACGATAGTAGTCAAATGGCGGATTAGAAACCACGACCTTTTTGAGTTCGCGATCCGCGCCCTGCCATTAGGCTACTGTCGCTTTAATTGAATGTGAGTTTGATAGTGAGTTTGCGTGAGTTTAGATGAGAAGAGCCCGCGAAGGGCAGTGTGCGCCTTGTGTTACTGGTGCGCCTTATCTGAGAAAAAAAAGGGGGAGGAGAAGTCCGCTACTAAGGAGCTGCCATTGGGCGGCTGGCGCTGGGGGGCCGCGGATGTGCATGAAAGCGTTTCCACGGCCCTATCAATTGCGGCGGAGGTAGAACACCTTGGGGTTTTAGTAGATGCGAGTCCGGCATAATCCGTTCTTGTCCCCGCGAAGCGCATTACATTTCCTTAAGTAAAAAAGGTGAGAAATAGCTGATTTAATTAGTGCTTTAACTTCTTAGTATCCGATTTAGCTACGATTAGCCGACGTTATCGTCCTTATGGCAGAATCGCTGGAGGACCTAAGCACTATGCTCAATGAACTAAATAGTGTCTCCCAACGGATAGGTCTTAAGATGAACATGGACAAAACAAAAGTCATCTGTAATGTCCATGTCACACCTATGCAGATGGTTGTTGGGAGCATTAAGCTCGAATTTGTTGACGAGTATGTTTACCTGGGACAAATAGTTTGACTAGGTAAGTCTAACTTCGACCGAGAGGTCAATCGGAGGTTTCAACTCGGCTGAGCAGCGTTCGGGAGATTGCGACACATCTTCTCGTCAGGCCTACCTGGCGTGATGCCCGTGATGACTTATGTGGATCTAAGACGTGGTCCTTCGCTGCTGGCCGTATGAGGAAGCTCAATGTCGCTCATCTAGTTTTGGAGAGGGCTATTCTTGAGGTTTTCCTGCGTCATAAACTTAGGAATGAGGATATCCTCAGTAGAACCAGAGTGACCGACATAGCCCAACGGATTAGTAAGCTGAAGTGGCAATGGGCCGGCCATATAGCTTGAAGAACAGATAACCGACGGGGAAGAAAGATTCTCGAGTGGCAGCCTCGTACCTGCTAAAGAAGTGTATGGCGTTCCCGCACTAGATGGAGTGACGTGGCTCAGGACCGTGTTTGTGGCTTTCTTTGGGGAAGGCCTATGTTCAGCAATGGACTTGCAAAGGGCTGTAATGATGATGGCATTATATTAATACGATACATAAATAGAAAGGACGTTACGGGTAAGCCTGGGTATAGATTTTTTATCGATATATTTTCTCACAATGTCTTATCTATATTATTATTTCCGTGGACGTTCACTTCTGTTGTCAGAGTCAAATGGCGAAAATCAAATCGCCTTATTATATCACGGTGTAGTCAGTCCATATATAGAGGTCAATGGCTAAGCCAACTGAGCCCTCGGTGGTTTAAATGTCAATGATTCAGATGTTTATTTGTCTTACTTCTCCCTCACGTAAAATTGAAAAGTAGGTACTATATGGGAATTAGATAGGGTTTTTCGTCATTTAGTTCGCTATTTTATTACTCATACTAGACATTTAGAATAAATACCTGTATATACCATGTCTGCAACAATCTGACTTGAGCGCCAATTTTGGAAAAGTTCTGTTTAACCGACTCTAGAGCTTCACAGCAGGACTGAAATACTTTTACCCGGGCTTCGCCAGACAGAGGAGCAGTGGCGATACGGCATTTGGTATAAAGAAGTAATCCTAAAATATTTAGATATAAAAATGTATCGAATTTAACCAGTGAATATAAAAGATTGACAATCTGCACTTTAAATTGAGATTCACAATTCTGGAAATGTTGAGAACCTTTAGCACTAGCATGTGTATTTTCTGGGAAGAATTTAAAAAGCTGCGACAATAACATACAAAAACACCTTTAATTATGTGTATGTTATACGGCATCACTTTATTTATTATTATATTGTATGCCTAGAGGGCATTAACCTATTTCTTAAGCAAAGCAGCAGTGCATCCACAAATGCGTATATGATTTAAGGTTACAGAGAGCCAGTTTAATTACAAATTGTTCGGTGTTCCTTAATGGTCTCAGTTGACTGCATCTGAAGACGTTAGAAGTTAGTTGACATACATAGCCTACAAAAGCTATTTATTATCAGGTGGTCTTAAGCTCACTCCCACCTTAAATATTAAGTCATGCCAACATAAAGTCGCTAACAGCTTCTTGAGTTTGTGCCGATGTGGAAAAGCAGCGAAAATATACAAGCAATTTCAAACATAACACGATGAGTTTCTATCAGAGTAAAATATAAAGCAAAATAATGGAAAGTGACAACATATATGTCAGCAAGTGTTGGCTATAATATTTAAAAGTAAGTAAGTAGGTAGGTATAAGTATTCATTTGCAATGGCATAATCTATTTCGTTAGTGTAACCCCATCTAACAACAAAAGCCCTTAATATTATGGCGCATAGATCATAGAAAAATAAGATCAAAAAGCAAAACATAATTTTAAAGTCAATAACGTACCTCTTGCCATGTCATAAGCACTTCCATGTGCCATTATCAAAGGTAATACTTTCCGTACAAGGACAAGAGCATTCTTCGCACATCCCATTAGCAGCTGTACATTTGCAATATGCATTTCAACAATAGCCGCTAAATAATGCAGATGAAACTTTTTCGCCCAAGATAGTGCTTCATTCAACAATAGAATGTTAGTCGATTGACTACTGCCATAGGAAAGTTGCACTTGTGACATTAATATCATGGCCTTTAATCGCAGAGACGCGAAGTGAAGACTGTCGTCCTCAGTTTTACAAAAGTCCAAAATGTCTTGTATTGTTTCTAAAGCATCAGTAGCGTCTCCTTTTAAGAAATACATCTCTGCTTTTAGTAATTGACTTTCCCATCTATCAAAAGATGCCAACTGTCGTATGCTTTGCTCAGCTTCTTCCCATTTACCTAAAAATATGTCAATACTTTTAATTAATAAAATTGACGGCAAAAATTTGTTTTTACTCTGCCATAAGGTAACATACTGTTATTTTATTTTTTTACTACAACCGAGATTTTGATACAACCGAGAGGGTTGCCTGGCCTGGGTTCGAATTCAAATAAACATCATGCTATGACCCATCCGTGTTAAAACTAATCTGACACAAATGGGCGAGGTTGTGGTCCATGAAAATGTGACGAATTCTGGGAACAATGCGCTCCCGTTGGGTTGCCTAATATATAATAAAAACCATGTCCGATTATAAAGAGACTATAAATACAGAGAATATAAAAAGATCAAATCATGAATTTAAAAAAGTATTTCAAATCCTAGCATTTTAATACAAATACTCTTAAAATGAGCAAAACCTGGCAACACTTTAATAATAATTCATTTGAACTACAAAAATATTTATATAATATATATATATATATGTCCGAGGACGGCGGGACACATTGTCAAGATCTTCATTGCTATCCATTATTTTGCAGGCGTTTAATATAGTGGCAAATTCAATAATACAGTCTTATCTCTCACAGAATATTAATAAGGTAACACGTAAAATAGAAACTAGTTATTAAGAATCGTTACAATCTGAATAGACAAGGAACGCGGTGTTCCCGACGTGCGCGTGCGACCCGACCTCTATCTAGTGTCTCTCTTGGACCAGACTGCTCGTTCGATGCTCCGCAACTCCGAACGTAGTCGAATATCAAACTTCCGGCTCGACTCCTGCGTTCGACGTTCCTGACAACGACAATATATATACGAGGGGTGATCCAAAAATAATGATAATCGGTTACTTCAGGTCCGCATAAATATCAAAAAAAAAAATATTTTTTGCTTGCTTTATACTCACTATGTCAGCCTAAAAAAATCATATAAATAGATCACGATTTCCGCGAGATACATTCATTTGAATACGAACTGTCAACGAGATAACATCAACATGGAGAAAAACGAAATTAGAGCTGTCATCAAGTACCTCTGTTTGAAAAAAAATGTCTTCAAAAGACATACACAGTGACTTAGTAGAAACATTGGGGGACTCTGCTCCTCCATATTCTACAGTTGCACGCTGGGCCAAGGAGTTTAAACTGGGCAGAACATCCACTGAAGACGAACATCGCGAAGGACGCCCATCCACGTCCCTCACTGAAGACAACGTGAAAAAAGTCGAAGATGTTGTGTTGGCAGATCGAAGAGTGACCATCGGCCATGTAGCTGAGGTCACAGGGATCTCATATGGCAGCGTTCAAAGAATCCTTGCGAACGAGTTGCATATGAAAAAGGTCTCTGCGCGTTGGGTACCCAGAATGTTAACCAACGAGCAAAAGAAAAATCGAGTTGACATTTCGAGGGTCAATCTCGAAAAGTTCCAAGCAGATTAAGAAAATGTTTTGTTCCGTTTTGTGACTATGGACGAGACCTGGATCCACCATTTTGATCCTGAAACGAAACAATAATCGATGACTCGTAAGCGAGCCTCCTCACCGACGCCAAAGAAATTCAAAGTTTCAAGTTCGGCGGGAAAGGTTATGGCATCTGTTTTTTGGGACGCTCAAGGCATAATTATGGTGGAATATTTGGAAAAGGGAGACACTATTACGGGCTCTTACTACGCAGACCAAATAAAAAGATTACGGGAGGCCATTAAGGAAAAAAGACGCGGCAAACTGCGAGCTGGAGTGCTGTTTCACCAAGACAACGCACCGGCTCACAAAGCCGCAGTTGCGATGGCTGCCATTCAAGAAACGGGATTCAAACTGCTCGAACACCCTCCCTATTCGCCAGATCTAGCTCCTAGTGACTTCTACCTCTTTCCTCGGCTCAAGGAACGCCTCCGAGGCAAGAAATTCGAAGACGATAGCGAAGTAATGGCCGCTGTTGAAGCGTTTTGGGAGGGTCAAGACAAAGAATTTTTTTCAAAAGGAATCCTGGGTTTAGAAAAAATATGGACTAAATGTATTGATTTGTTAGGAAACTATGTAGAAAAATAAATTATTATTTTAACTTTAATTACCGTGTTTTATTTTCATTATCATTACTTTTGGATTACCCCTCGTATTTTAATGGTGGTAAGACCTTTTCTGCCTAGGTAGATACCACCCTCTGCTTAAAAATGGCACTATTGTGTTCTGGTCCGATTTCTGCGCCCACGGCTGGCGGTTACAATAACAATTAAAATACTTTATTGCACACCAAAGAAAGATAAATGTAACAAAAATAAACAAATATTGAGGGAAAATATTTTTGTACGTGGTAAAGCATGCTGCAGTTATATTAGTAGTACGAGTATAATTAGTTATAGCACAAATGGGTCAGCTCGACCAGGGAAAGGACCACGCTCTCACAGTCTCACAGAATACTAGCGTAAAATAATAGCTTAATGCTGCTGTGTTTCGTATGGCGAGTGTAGAGAACCGGAGACCCTTTTTACTGGAAACGAGGCATTCCATCTTAGTCCCTACGGGTGACAACGCATCTGCATTTCGTAATCGAGGATAGATGCAGATGTCTATGGGCCACAGCAACCACTTACCATCAGATGGACCATGTGCTCGTTTGTCACTCTATCCTATTAAAAAAAGGCTTTATTATTTCTACATAGCAATCTCTTCTAGAGAACACAAAAAATAATTAAATAAGTTATCAACCATAGGTTATCGATTCTTGGCTTGCTTGCTGATTGTGCGCAGGGATATTGCTGTAAACAGTTCCTCATTCGATAACGGCTAACACAGCGGCGCCGGCGAGTTGAATTGCAATGTGGACACGTACCGGTCGATCAATGCGGAGCCGGCGCGGTGTAGGACATGCGACAGGTACCCGCGAGCAGCGTGGCACTGTGCAGGATATGCGACAAGTACCCGCGAGCAACGCGGCGCAATGCAGCACATCCGACACGTACCTGCGTGCAGCGCGGCGCAGTGCAGGACATGCGACAGGTACCCGCGAGCAGCGCGGCGCGGTGCAGGACACGCAACACGTACCCGCGAGCAGCACGGCGCAGTGCAGGACATGCAACAGGTATCCGCGAGCAGCGCGGCGCAGTGCAGGACATGCGACAGGTACCCGCGAGCAGCGCGGCGCAGTGCAGGACACGCAACACGTACCCGCGACCAGCGCGGCGCGGTGCAGGCCATGCGACAGGTACCCGCGAGCAGGGCGGTGCAGTGCAGGACATGCGATAAGTACCCGCGGGTAGCGTGGCGTAGTGAAGGAGATGCGACACGTACCCGCGAGCGGCGCGGGGCGATGCAGGACATGCGACAGGTACCCGCGAGCAGCGCGGCGCAGTGCAGGACACGCAACAGGTACCCGCGACCAGCGCGGCGCAGTGCAGGACACGCAACACGTACCCGCGGCCAGCGCGGCCAGCGCGGCGCGGTGCAGGATATGCGACAGGTACCCGCGAGCAGCGCGCCGCAGTGCAAGACGAGCCACCCACCACCTCCCGTGGCCCTACCGACCCTCAGGTCATACGGGCCTAATCTCGGGAGATGCGCGCGGTACTTGCTGCACCTTGCTCTTTCCCGCGCGCACTTTCTTGACTCCCTATAAATATTTATTCTGTTCCTTGTCCGAGTTTAACGTCATTCTCCCCCTTCTGGGGCTGACGGCGCAATAACGCCTACGTCGTCGGGCCTTCCTACCAGCATCCTATCCTGCCTTGTCCTGCGATCGTGCCACCTTATCGCAAATTCACGCAACAACCCGTAGTTCACCCCATCGCTGACGAGATCCGTGTAGTAAATCGGTCCCTGAACCGTTCGAACCAACCCATCCAATGCTTTCGCTCTTAGATCGTCATACAGAGGACATTCCCATAGAACATGGTGAACATCCCCCTCTGCCGTACCACACTCACACATACTGGTTTCACACAATCACATGTCATGCAGTCTCTTCCGAAAACATCCATGTCCAGTGAGAATCTGGGATGTTTGATAGTCCGGTGAAACCCAGGTATACCTGAGTCTCAACGCCACCTCTGGGAAAAATCGATGTAACTCACGTCCTTTCGTTTCGTTCATCCATCGATTCTGCCATACGCCAATCACCTCAGTCCAGATTTCGCGCTTTCGTCCGCTCAACTCCTTTCTGGGCGCGGTCAAGCGCTCCATACCCATCCTACCAGCACGAATGACCTCCAGGTCAGCAGGGAGAACGCCAGCCAGCACCGGTAAGGCCGCCGTGCTAGTGGACCGGTACGCCTTGGTCAACAAGACAAGGGCAGATCGTTGCGTTCTGCATACGTGAGCGTGGACACAGACGGAGTGTCTGTGCCTATAGATAATTTTTAATCTCGGGTATCGCATGCCCCATGACGATGTCGATACGCGAGTCATTTTGCCGAATCCCTTAGTCGCTCTTTCAGAGATATCAGAAGCGTGGACCCTGGCCCTGGATTCAATACCCGCTCTCGTTTCCGATTCAACCAAGATTGTGACATTATCGGCATAGGCTGTCATGGCAACTCCCTCAGGCAGAGGGAGTCTGAGCGAATCATCCATTAGCACATTCCACAATGTTGGGCCCAGCACGGAGCCTTGAGGACATCCCATGGTCGAGGTCTTCCACTCTACCCGGTCCCCGATGTAGAGGCCCACACGCCTGGAGGTGAAGTAGTCCACCAACATTTTATAAATGTTAGGTGGACATCCACCCCTCTTAACTTTGACCATCATCATCGGCCACCAGGCATTGTCGAAGGTACCGGAAATATCCAAAAAGATGGCTTGCACGTAGCATGCCCGAGAATACTTTGCCGTGCTGAGCAATACTCGCAGCGCTGTTACCGTAGACCGCCCCGGAGAAAATCCATGCTGGTGCTCGGATATACCGTGACTAATCACAGGAGCGCACCTTAGAAGTACACGTTCAAGTAACTTTTCCAAAACAGGCAGGAGCGTTATAGGACGTTACGCCTTGGCATCAGTGAGTGGCTTGTCATTACCCTTGGGAATGACAATCAATCTACCGTCCTTCCATACCTTGGGGAAAACCCCCTCTATTACACACTTGGCATACACCGAGTGGAATTCCCTCGGTGCAGCCATCCAAGCATTCCTCACGATTCTCGCACTCACTCCATCGAGTCCCGGATCCGTGTTGGGCAAGGCCCTGACTATGCCTCCCAGGTCCTCAACCGTAAGTGGAGGTGCAGCTCTGCCAGAGGGCATAAATGCCGCCAGCATACGAACCTGCCGGTAGTAAGGCTTATCACAACCAGAGTCGTCATCCAGACAGAGCACAGACATCATTGCAGCTTCCAGACTATCTGGGTGCCCACCCGCGAATACAATCCCATTGATCACATTCGCAGGCGGACGCACCTGTATGCCAAACCCCAAGGGTCCTCATTGCCAGTACTAGCGACCCTCGTGTAATGCGACTGCTGCACCTCCACCATCATCTTCCTATATCTCGCACGCACGCTATGAAATACCATTCTGGCTATCTCCCCTGATCTGCCTTCCAAACGCCTTTTACTCTGCTATACACGCTTGAGCTTACATTGCAGCTTCCGAGTTTTATCCAGTTCAGAACTCCACCATTCATACCCCCGGACCCCTAGGGCGACGCTCCCCTAGGCCTTCCTCCGCGGAGCGGATGATGAGCCCTGAGAACTCCTCCGCCAGGAGGGCCGCGGGTTTGTCCACATGCAACCATCCCATTCTTAATTTGATAATCGCCCGGAACCTGTCTCAATCCACCCCCCCGGTCACGAAAACGTGGGGGATCCCTGACGAGTGCAGCGCAAGTGGTCGGCCTGCTGGTAGTGGCCGTGTATGTGATCAAATTATGGTCGCTGGCGCAGACTCCCTCATGCACTCGCCACTCGGCAAGGTATATGTCCCCAGTAGATAACGTGAGGTCCACATTAGACTCTCCACCTGGCCCAGAGGAGGTATAGGGCTGGTCAGGCTGGTTCGCCAACGTAAGTGCCTGTGAGAGTATGAACGCCTCCACTTGCTGCCTCCGATGTTCTACAGTATGTCCTCGTCCCACGTAGTGTCGGCGATCGCAGTGCCAAAGTGGCGAGTGCGCAATTGCGTCGAGGCCGACGATGATCCTTCTGCCCCTTAGGCAACTCAGGGCGACCTCCAAGTGGTGCAGGTGATCATCGATGGTGTCACTGTATTTAAATTACGCTACACCATATAGAGGTCCCATCGGTTTACGTGGCACACCACACAGAACTCTTTGCTGAGGTGGCTCAGCAAAGCTACTCCAATTGTTGGGTCGGCAAGATAGATACCAGCCCACGGGTGACCACCTACCTGGACGATTCTGTCTGGGAGTACTGTTCTTGTACAAGAACAATGTCCAGGTGCAGTTCACGCGCCAGAATAGGCAACTCAGCCGTGGCAAGCTCCCCCCGACCCAAGTTGATCTGCCCCATTTTAATAGTTCGTTCTTGTAAGTTAGCAGACATGCCCTTATCGGCAGTATTGTGTGGTAGCCACGGAGCGTTGCTCTGCATACAGTCTTGCTGGGCAGTTCCTTGCCATGGTCACGAGCGTACCAGAGTCGGGCCGGCCAAATCGCTTGCAGGTAGCACACTCTTCTTCCTTTACTGTGCAGGCCCCACGCTCGTGTCCCGTCTCCCCAAACTTGCCACACACAGTCTCCTTGGACCGGCAGCACTTTGCTGGATGCCCGTATTGCTGGCACCTCTGGCAGCACGTGACGTCAACGTAGTCGCAGGGCTCTACCACGTCCCAGCCAATGTAGAGGCGATTATGTCCCACCAGCACGTTTCTTAATGCAGCCGAGCACTGGAGAATGACCGTGGTGCGCCTGCTTCCTCTCCACGATTTCTTAAAAGCTACCTTGCATTCTTCCTTCACCTTAACCTCACTCCAGCCACAGGCAGCAAGATTCTGCTCATAGAGGCCGCTTAACACTTCCTCGTTCTTGGGGTCCACCTCAAAACCCCTGAGGGCAACCAGGGGAAGGCACTGCCTGGGCTCAGACACCCTCAATGATGGAGGGACTGCAGTTTTTAGTTTCTCGGCTGCCTTCTGGGACGTGGTCTGGACCACAACACCTGCATTCCCCACCTTTCTCAATCGGTCTATTTGCAGGCCGCTGGTCTTCGGGTTCACGGCCTTCTTCAGCTCCAACTTCGTATCCTCCGCAGTCTTAATTGGCCCCTCAGCTTCAGCCGGATAAAAGGCAACTACCGGACCCTTGCTGACAGGCATCAGCATCTGGTCTGCACCCTTGGGTAGCCTCAATGCAGCCAAGTACGAGCGTTGCGGTGCCGGGTCCGTCGTGTAGCAAGGAACTGTTCCGGCCTCGACCTGCGCCAGTTTCCCTTCTGCAACAAGCTTCTCCTTCTCCGCTCGAAGTCTGGCCAGCTCCAGCTCAGAAATGTGAACCTCCATGGTCGCCACCATGGCAATAAGATCATGGCCATATGCTGAGACTTTGTTAACCTCCGCCTTGTTCAGCTTGGAGCCGGGCCCTGTAATTATGGTCATTATCCCCCTAACTGACTCCCGCACCTGGTCAATGACCTCCAGCTTCGAAGCGGTGGTAGCTCTAAATCTCCCCCTAGCACCCCGAGTTACCTCTCTGGAGCAGTCCTCTTCTTCCGTTTCAGGAGCAGACTCCTCGACATTCCCTGTCAGAAGACCTGCCACCTGTGCCACACTCCGGCGAGACTCGGCCCGCTTGCCCACCCTTGGTCGCTGGGAAGATGCCTGCATTTCCTCCGGCGAAGCCAGAGGCCGCTTCTCCGGCACCACTAGCGGTGGGGGGAGGCACCGCAACCGGCCGTCCGATTGGTCCCGGCGGGGTCCTGGCCAAAGACTTCCTGGGCGTAAAGCCCTCGTCGTCGTCCGCCATTTTAATTTAAGAAAAGTTCACTACAGAAGGTTATAATGGAACGCAATCTATCGAAAATTATGACAGGTCACCCTATCAATGTCACTGTCAATGAAATGTCACCCACAATGACAGCTGCCAACGTCATTGTCAGTGTCAAACAACACCGGCACAACCTAACCTCAATTCTAGTTCAGTTCTTATAATTATTCTAACACTAAATATAAATAAAAGTACTTACAGTTTAAAATCCAAAAGAACACAGAATAACACACTCAACAATAAAATAAGAATACTTAACCTAAAGCTACCACGCGGTAACCGCGTGGTCTAACCTAACCTAACACGTGTTTACAGGTAATAAAAATGTTTAAAAGTGTTTAAAATAATAACAAGCACTGCACTGTTTATTTAATACTACAAAATAAAGTTTAAATAATTACAAACTCAACTATTATAACGAGATATTACTATACAACACCAAAAACAATTAAAAATATATGCACGTAGTCACGCGAGAGCGCTTCGATACGTCCGCTCAGTACGATTACCGACGACGTAGTACCCGCGAGCAGCGCGGAGCGGTGCAGGACATGCGACACGTACCCGCGAGCTGCGCGGCGTAGTGAAGGACATGCGACACGTACCCGCGAGCAGCACGGCGCAGTGCAGGACATGTGACACGTACCCGCGAGCAGGGCGGCGCAGTGCAGGACATGCGACAGGTACCCGCGAGCAGCGCGGCGCGGTGCAGGACATGCGACACTTACCCGCGACCAGCGCGGCGTAGTGAAGGACATGCGACACGTACCTGCGAGCAGCGCGGCGCCGGCGTGGTGTCTGGCGGCTACGGCGCGCAACGGCGGCGGCGGCAGGTGGTGCAGGTGCGATAGCAGCGCGGTCGCGCGCGCGCCCTCTCCGCGCCACGCCGCTACGCACGCCGCGCCCGCGCCCGCCACCGCGCACGCCTCTGACCAGTGCCACACGCTGCTCGAGCCCACGTTGCACTCTACACGAACAAAACATGGTTTTTTGTTCCTCCATAGCGTTATTTAATAATATTTAGCCGCTTTGTTGAAAAAAGAGGTTTAATATTAGTGTCATGTTTAAATTAGAGTCTGAGATTCAATAAATAAGTACCGTAGAAAATATGAGAATAGAATATAGAAATAGAGCAAATATCAATTTAACGAATGATTTGGTGCCGCAGCAAGAAGTCCCTTATTCTTTCGTGAGAACTCTTCGTAATCCATAATTTAAACCTGATACTCAATAAACCATGTTTTACGTAACTTATACAAAAAACGGTAAAAGTTTATAATCTTCGGAAGTATTACTACTGTTATAATAGTTTTAAGATAAGTCAAGTAAAATATTTAATATTTAGAAAAAAAAATTACATTTTAATTAAACATTTGTATAGTGTCCCGAAACTCAACGTCAAGCGGGTACGGGCCTAAAAGCTAGGTGGTAACCAGTACTAACAAAAATAAAAAATAAATCAATGTTACTTATGTTAGCAATTATTTGTAGAGAATATTGAATTGCATTGAATGACTTTAATTTTGATTAATGTAACTTGGATGTCCGCTTTTGTGTCAGAGTTTCCGGTAAGATTTTTACTGTAATAATTTCGGATTTGACTACAAAAAGGAAATATAAAAACGATTGTAACGGCCCAAGCGGGTTTTATACAAAATTATTTGTAAGTTATTAACAGATTCAAATAAAAGTAATATGATGTAATCTAAATTGTATTATATTTGCTAACACTTGGTTAAGTGATAATAGATATACTTTTGAAAATGTTTGAAATCAACACTAGGTCACATATTTAGGTACTGTGATCACAAATCTCTAAAGTTTTAAGTTTTTTTTAAAGGAAAATGGCGAAATAATATGTGATGGAATCATTAAGCGTCCACTTAAGACACCATTACAGATATCAATACAATAATTTACTTTGTGTTATCTAATCAAGCTTATGGCCTATCGAAGTCTGGAAAAAAAATCATCTTACCTAATTTAAAACTAAATTGACTAGTTGTTGTGGCAAATTGTTGATTGAATTATTAAGCGTCTGCTTATGTCACCATTACAGATATCAATAAAATAATTTACTATGTATTATCTAATCAAGCTTATGGCCTATCGAAGTCCGGAAAAAAAATCATATTACCAAATTTAAAACTTAATTGACTAGTTGTTGTAGTTGTTACAATTCGTCAGTTAAGACAGCGAAGGTCTTATACCATACAGCGGAGTTTGACGTGTATTTTATTCTGAAAGCTCTTCCATATATACTAATGCGTTATATATATAGTACCCGGATGACCGAGCTTTGCTCGGTTTTTTTTTTTTTTTTTTGAAATTACATTTATAAATTACATACTGATGAAACATAAATAATATTTTTTGATCGTATTGACAGAATAGAAAAAACTGAAGTGGTTATTTGAATAAAAAATCATGAGTGCAATTAGTTTTGTTAAAATTTTCGTATTTTTAAAAAATACTAAAAAAAGGCTTGAAATAATAGATTTTCTCACAAAAGTTCTCACGAAACTCATCAAAGATGTAACGGAAAGCGAACCCCCACAAAATTACATTACACATATGAAATACGAAAATAGTATAATAACAAATGGGACAAAAATAGCTGAACTGTTTAATGATTACTACGTAAACCTAACTGATGGAAGGTATATATATATGATATGGATAAAAAGCGAAAGATACTATCAACGATCAATCATATATCAAAGTCAATTTTTCTTGAACCGGTGAATTCAACAGAAACTACTCGCATTATACAATCACTAAACAATTCTAGCTCATGTGGGTATGATGAAATCTCAACAAAAGTGTTAAAATTCTGTAAAAACGAACTAGCCCAGGTATTAACATACCTAATTAATTTATCCTTTGAAACAGGATGCTTTCTTGAGGCTCTTAAATTCTCGATCGTGAAACCTATCCACAAAAAACAGAATAAATCTGAAATCGGTAACTATCGCCCAGTTACATTAATACCGGTGTTATCAAAGGTATTTGAAAAGGCCATGCAAAAAAGACTGCTCAACTATTTAACGAAACTTAAAATCATTACACCGGAGCAAAATGGGTTCCAAAAGGGAAAATCAACTACCCTCGCGTGCTTTAATCTAATACATAACGTTATTCTTGGACTCGATGATAAACAGCGTACTACTGTACTTTTCTTCGATATGTCTAAGGCATTCGATTTTGTAGTTCACAATGTCTTGTTAGATAAACTGGAAAAGTATGGGATTAGAGGACTTTCTCACTCTTAGCTTAAAACATATCTAGAAAATAGACATCAGTGCGTAGAAATAAATAGAATAAGCGAGAGAAATACAACTACATCCGATCGTTCTAATTATAAAATAAGTAAGTTTGAAGTACCACAGGGTAGCGTTCTGGGTCCTATATTGTTTTTATTATATATAAATGACTTACCGAGAGTGACTAAACATCAATGCATAATGTTTGCAGATGATATTTCCATTATTGTTAAATCAAATTATAATGACAATTTAAATAATTATGAAAATGACATTAATAACTCGGGTCTCCAAAATGGCCGTTTTGTAGGCGTCCACAGCTTTCAGGTGATGAAAATCTCTGTCCACGCAATTGATGCTTTATTTTAGGGAAAGTATAGAAATCATTAGGACTTAGGTCGGGGTTGTACGGCGGATGGTCTAATAATTCTATGTTTTCTAGCTCTCAAATTCTGTGTGCGGTGTGAGAACTCGCATTGTCATGATGGAGGATGATGCGGCGGTTGCAGTTCTCTTTACGGAGTTCAGAAACGACCCGTGGCAAACAAATGCTAGCATACCATTCTGCATTAACCGTTCTTTGTCCCTCAAAGAGGAATAGTCGTAACATGGCCGGTTTTGGAGACAAACGTGGCCACCATTTTTTTTTGCAACACTCCGTGAACGAACAATTTTTGTAGGCTTTAACTCATTTTCGAACACCCAAACTCGTGACTGGTTTTTTTGTTACGGGTTCGTACGCGTATATCCAGGATTCGTCACCTGATACGATGTTGTATACAGCATTTGAGGATCCTGCATGGAATCTTTCGAGAGTTCTGACGCACCAAGTAACGCGCGCTGCTTTTTGCTCTTCACAGAGCGAATGCGGTATCCATCGGGAAAACAACTTTTTTACACCTAATTGATCATGCAACATTATTTGTATTTGACTCATGCCAATGTCTAAAGTTGCCTGAATTTTGCGGTATGTCATATGTCGATCTTCCTCAATCAGCTTACGCACAGCATCAACGTTTTCTTGGGTGACTGCAGTTTTTAGACGACCTTGACGGGGATCATCACTGAGTTTGACACGTCCACGTTGAAATTCAGCAAACCAGCGATAAATTGTGGTTTTGGATGGGGCTTCATCACCAAATGCAGAAATAATCCGGTCAACACACTGTTTTTGTGTTAAACCACTTCGACAGGAACAGTGGAAATAATCTTAATGTGCTGTACAAAAACATACCTATTGAAAGGACTACCATGGTCTCATTTTTGGGTGTATTACTTAACGGGAACTTAAATTTCACTGGCCACATTGATAAAGTTTGTAATAAAATTAATAGGTTTGCTTTCGTCTTAAGGCGTTTAACTAAGATAACGACTCTTAGCGTAACTATGTCTGGTAATTATGGTTACGTCGCGTCTAATATTAATTATGGTCTGGTTCTGTGGGGCAACATAGTTGAAGCAAATAGAGTTCTCATCGCACAAAAAAAATGTATACGTACTATATGCGGTAAAGGTCCATTTGATACATGCAAGCCCCTATTTATTAAGCTGGGTATATTAACAGTCCCTGGCATGTACATATTGGAAATATATAAATTTGTCAAACAACATGCAGAGTTATTTAAATCAGCTTGTGATATATATCCACGAAGCACTAGAGATAGTAAACGGCTTGTCTTAGATCATAAACCAAAAACTTCTGTCTATCAGAAAGGTTGTTACTGTATGTGTGTAAAAATATTTAATAAAATTCCAAAGCAGGTCAAATACGGCTCTATGATTCTCATGACCAAAAAGTTACGTGAATGGCTAATAAGAAAATGTTATTATATTGTTAAAGAATTTCAAAATGATAATAATATGCATGTTGACATATGATGGACGTAATTGCTGTGTATCACTGCGTATCACTGTTTTATCAGACCTTTATTTTTGATTGATTGTATTTAAATTTTAATTATGATATTGATATAGTAAATTATGACATTTTGAATTATATAACTTACATTTAATAACTTGACATTTTAGAATCGACTACCACCTATATTATGTGGTAATTTAAAAAAAACAGTTGCATGCCGTATCTCATGGCTAAATAGGTCTTTAAGCAACTTATTTTTATTGTAAAAAACTTATCACTTACCCTATTTATGGCAATTAAATAAATTTGAATTTGAATTTGAAAAGAAGGGAACTTGAAAAAAAAGGAAAAAAGTCGGACCAGAGACAGGACGCGAACCACTGAACTCCGATACCACGCCCGACCGACAGCCCACCTGAGCTATTACGATCGTTAGTGATCTGTCAAAATTTACCTTCTTATATTGTAGCAGTTTTTTTTATTGCCTGAAAATACGGACAAAAGGACATTTTCTAAAAATAAATCCTAGCTAGATCGATTTATTGCCCCCGAAACTCCCTGGACACTCTAAATAATCGATATCGATATAAAAATATCGATATCGATTATTTAGAGTTGGTAATAATTTACAGTTTGGTTTGAAAAATACCAGAATAAATTAAAAACGGATTATTTAAAACACAAGATTTATCAGTTTCTTCGTATTTGTTGTTACTGCTTATTTCTAGAGGTACAGTTATGAAAATTTAAGATTGAAACTAGATTAAAAATAAATTTATTCAATAACTTTCAATACAACTAGTTGAGCTGTAGTTGTTTAGATTAATTATAATTTAATTTTCA